TGCCAACATAGTCAGACGAAAGAAGTGGGCAAGTGATATGATGACCAAGCCTCTAGACTTTTGGAAGACCGTATTGTTCTCAGACAAATCAAGATTTGCTCAATTTTCGGACAGTGGAAGGATATGGGTCTGGAAAATGCCTCACCAAGAGTTTTGGTTCAACAGATTGCAGCCACCTGTGAAGCATGGTGGTTTCAGGGTGATGGTTTGGGTAGCTGTTTGGGTTGGTGGGAGATCGAGCTTAGTGGAGTGCTTTGGCAACACAAATTTTGCAAAATATGTCGAAATATTGGAGGAAGGACTCTTGTCACTTTATTCCTCGGGTTTCGTGGACAAGAACACAATGTTATTCCAGGAAGATGGAGCACCGTGTCAAACTGCTAGAAACACCCAAAAGTGGCAGGGAGAAAATGGTATCCAGAAGTTGCCCTGGCCGAGCCAATCTCCTGACATGAACCACATTGAAAACATCTGGGCCATACTCGACCGGCAAGTGAAGAAACAACCAAAAAACCAACCTCGAAGAGCGATCTACTCCAAGTTTTGAAGCAAGAGTGGGTGAAAATCCCACAATCTAAAATTGACGAGATGATTCTCATGATGCCCCAAAGGATCAATGAACTGCACGAAGCGAAAGTAAGATCTACTAGATATTAATTAAATTATAAGTATATCAATTCATGTGAATATGACTGAAAAAATTCATTTTTTTCTGAAAAGGTGGTGTCTATTTACTTGTGACCATGCTGTGTATTGTAGGATATGCTAACAAGAACATTAATATCAGCTGTTTATTAGCTAAGTACAAAAGCAATCACTCACCCGGAGAATCTCTGGAGATATGTAATCAGGAGTACCCACGGCAACATTAGATTGAACCTAAATTAACAGTTTACATAAATCAGAAATTGAGAAAAATTTCTTAATATTACATACTTTATTTCCAAAATACTGATGCATGGAATGATTATGCATTTTGTTTTACCAGTTACCAAAGAAAAGTTACAAAGATATCCACTTTTCTAAAACTTTTCTAAAAATTCTATTGACAAATACATTTAAATGAGCATGTTAATATACGTATCATATGTGTACATCTGCAGGAAATAGTTATACACACAAAGCTTTCTCTGATTAATTTATTCATTTTCTCAGGAAAGTAAGCTAAAGAAAAGACCTATAAAATATTAGTAGTACATTTTTCTTCTGCTTAAAGTTATGTTCAGGCATAATCTTTGAATGGAAAGGGATGATTCTTTAGCAAAGAAAATATCACAGCAATTTTGACATATAATCTCATGTTTAGAGATTCTCCAAGACAAAAAAAATACCCCGTAGTAAAATTAATACAGTATAGACATATGTTTAAAAATTCTCTGAAATAAGAAAAAAAGATCCTGTAATATAACTGCAGTTGACATCATATGATCAAGCATTTTGCATGCAACATATTGAATGGCCTGCCACAAAAGTTCATGAAACTTGTGCATGGGGGTGGTAAGGCAGATTTACACAAGCTTCAAACAAAGAGTTTATACAGTATAAACTTATGTTTAAGAATTCTCTGAGATAAGAAGAAAAAAATCCTGTAATATAATTAATACTGTATAGAAATGGTATCACAGTAACTTGCCCTCAATAAACTTGTGTCAGACAGTTTTTAGGAGAAAAGATATCAATATACAGTTTGTATTGTATACATTCATGTCCAGACATCTTTCAATGAAAGATAATTCTACAGGGAAAGACATCAGTATGAAGTTTGTAAAGTGTAAATTCATGTTCAGACATTCTGCAAGAAGGTAGATGTACAGGAAGATTATCAGTACAGTTGTGTGCAATGTGTAAATTAATGTTGACCTTGTGTAAGGAGTAGAAAAATCTAAAGAGAAGTTAGGAATGCAGTTTGTAGTGTATATATATTAATAAGACACTCTTTCAGTAAAAAGGTTTAACACTATAGTTTTCATTTCTAAACGCATGTTTAAATATCCCCCAAGAAAAAAAAGAAGCATCTACAGGTAATGGATATCAGAAAAGTTTCATTGTGTAATCTCATATTACAGCATCCTATATACAAAAAAAAAAAAATCAAAAAAAATCAGCCAACAGAAATTGGTGGTGTAACTTATAAAAACATTTTTTTGACAGAAAGAAGAATTTCTTAGGAAAATCTAAATTTGGCAAGAATGGTATTATTTGTACTTTATCTTCATCTATAGAAGAGTATAATTATCCCTAAAATGCATGCAGCACAATAAAAGTTAACAGAAACTAACTCTTAGTGTCTACAAAGTAATTAACATAAAGTTTATAAACTGTGCACACACCTAACCTCCACATATGGTTCTGTATGTCTAAATAAAAAGTGGCTAAAATCATATCCTGTTACATCTTTACGAAATTCATGGAAATGAAAAAAGAAAAATACATTACATGAGTGACTCACTTAAAAGCTATCACAGTGGTTACACACCTTAACAGCTGGCTTTATCTGTCTACTCCCCCCCCCCTCCCCCAGGGAAAGAATGAAGCCACTCTCCCTATTTTTTTTTTATATATACAGCACTTTTTTTTAAGATGCAGTTTTAGACTATACATGAGTTTATTAATTGGCAATCTTACATGTGTTACTAAACTAGATGTACACTTGTTCCTTACTTGTACAAGGGTCTCAGATTACAAACAACAACTAGAACCTCTGCTTACAGTTCCCATAGTGTTTGTACCACCCATTACAGTCGCTTTAATGTGAAAGTGCATTTTTTTTATAATCATCACATTACTTATACAAGGGGTTAATTAACACAAGTCATTAACATTCACCAGAAAGACCCATCAAAAATGAACATAATTTTTTCTCTGAGACTATGTTAATAAATCAATAAACTAGAGTACACACTTGATAGGCCTATCAAACAATTTAAAATTAAAAGAAGTTTGCATCTATGGTCTTACAGTTAAGTGAACAGTACTGTAATATAAAAGATGGCAAAACATATTTCACTCATATCATACTGATCCATAGACTTAGATATGTCTTAGACTTTCACTTGAATTGTTCTGGTGTTAAAAAACAAAATTTCTGATTTACTGGGGAAACAAAAATACTCAACAAATATAAATTTACATTTATAGCCATTTGCTGAAGTTTAATTTTTAACAGGTAACTAAAATTATAGTTATTTGTTCTAAGCCAATAATAAACTTACACTAACATGCATTAGGGCCACTTTAATTACAGAAAGTAAACAAATGGGGCCAAGCTGGTATACTACAATGTATAATAAGTCATACCTACCTATTAAGTTATGAATTTCCCCTCTTTTGAATTAAACCATGCTCTTAGCAATTAAGTTTTTGAACCCTCTAGATTAGACATACAATTTGTACTTATCTAAGTCAAGTTTAAAATATATCATGCAATATGTAATACAAAAGTTTCAAGTATTTGTATTACACAAAAAAGTAACTTGCATAATAATCAGCTGAAATGACACTGCACAGCAGTTAATATAAATGCTTTTAGAAGATACAGTAGTTACTATATAAAAGTAAAACAAACACAACGTATAAGAACAACACACAACAAACATGTCAGATATTAAAACTGCAAAACATAGATAATACATGTAAAGTGAATGTAATTAACTTATTCTACAAGTATGTTACATTGTAAAGGAGCATATATGAAAACTGTAAAACATTTAGGGTGTATATGATTAACTTCTTAATTCAAGACATAATTTTACTGAAATTGCTGTAAAGCAGTTCTTGTGTTTCTAATGTTATTTCAGGTATCCTTAATCCATTTGATTTTCCTACATATAATGCTAATTGCTAATATTTTGAGTGGTAGGAACATTTTCTGTCTCAATTTTTTTAATGAGTTCAAGTGTTTTTTTATGCAACTAGATATACACTGAGTAAAGCCATTAGCTTAATCAACTTGGAAGTTGGAACCAAAAATGCACTTCCGTGATCTCTCAAAAACATAAACAAATTGCAGATCACTTCTTAATATGTTAGCTGGAAAACATATTTTTCATCATTTTTGCAATTCAAACATCGACATTATTTTCAAGTTAATTTCATTTTAGTTCAAACATATGCCACTAAAAGTAGTAAAAATACTAGAAAATGAGACATTAGCAAATTAGCTTAGATTGTTTTTTTGCAGTGACGAATGTTCAGTTGAATCTACCAAACTAACAAGAGGATCAAAAAACACACACCACATCTTAAGCCAAACCATGCTGACAGACAATAAGTATGAAAATGAGAAACAAAACAGTAGGCATGATATCAGTGAAACTTTCATCTAAATGTAAAGCTTTAATGAGTGTAAAACAGTTATGTATTTTACTACTGAAATTATGTTACCAGAATTTTCATTAGCTATTCATAAAGTTTAAACTACTGAAATTAACAAACTTGACAAAATCAATGTTGTGTTCCTGAACTGTTCATAGTGACACAAATCTACCCATACTACCTGATTTCCTTCAGGCAAAATTACTTGTATTTCTCTAAAAAAGATATAATTTACATATGTTTATCTCTTTATAAGCTTATTTTTTATATCATGCTGAACAATACTAGTTAAATTATCCTTACCTAATAACTTCTTAACATGCAAAATGATAACTCATTTTAGTATTATATATTAACCAAAGGGCCTATCAAAAAGCACAGCAAAGACTATTTATTAATCTCAAGATTGTTTATGTCTAGCTTTTTAAAGGGCAAGAATTTTCATTTAAGAAATACTTATATTAACATGAACTTCACCTCATGACAGGAGTTCTAAACAGACTTATTGTTAATAACAGACAACAAAGCACTATATATAAACACTTTTTTTCTAAAGTTTACTTTATAAACACAAAACAGAAAATGACTTACTGTTCCATCTTCACATAACTTGAGACATGAACCAAAATCTGCCAGTCGAATGTGGCCATTAGCATCTAAAAGAACGTTGTCAGGTTTAATATCTCTGTGAACATAGTTTAGTTTGTGGATGGCATCTATGGCCAGTATCATCTCTGCAATATAAAACCTTGCCATTTCTTCTGGTAACCTATCTTCAAACTTGCTTAATAATGTCAAGAGATCACCACCACAGTAATAATCCATTACTAGGTACTAGAATAAAAACAACAACCAAACTAATGAAACCAATTGTTAATTAGCATGATCAAGAAAGCAAAACAATACAAGTAATTCAGAACAAAAAACAGATATAAAGAACAATAACACCTCAACTGTTGGAATAAAACAGCAGTTCTGAAACTCTAGTAACTTGAGGACCCCATTTAATTTTTTCTCTTGGACCCCCCAAACCTTTTGTGTTTTTTAAAAAATATTATGTATTCACGAAAACATGTATTCTAAAATTAAATGTTTTAATTCTTATAGATTTAACTTTACAAAAATATTTTTTATTCAATAAATCTTTTTTTTTAACATTTTTATTAAATTTTGGATATGACTTGCAGACCCCTTGGAATAACCTCAGAGACCCCTGGGGATCTGCAGACTCCAGTTTGAGAAATGTTGGCATAAACAATACAATATTTAACAAGGCTGAAAAAACAACAACACAAGCATTGTTATAATTCATCAATTAGAACAAAGTACAGTTTTCTTATTATAAAAAACAAAAGTCACTAATATTTAATGCTGGAGATAGTGTTCAATATTAAAACATAACAAAGAATATTCATTTAAATAAACTGGTTTCTCTAAACTGTCCATTATTTTCTGTAAATTTATTTAATTAATAGTTTTTGATAGCAATTTTTGAACTTTAAAAAATCTTCAATTTAGCAATTAAATGTTTCAAGAAAAGTTGAGAATTTTTAGAATATTTTATATAGTACCAAATCAAAGTTTAAAGTAATACTAATATTAAAATGTCTTTGTTATTATTAACAACGTCTACTCCAAAAAGAATCTTGCTTGTCGTGAAATTAATATTTATCTGAGTTTTTTTCCTAATCCAATTTAAAATTTCTTAATCCTCCTCAAAACATTCTACATAGGCTCTATCTATAAATAAACAGCAGAATGTTTTTGAGTCTTTGAATGCATTATTATAAAATACACTAAGAAGACCTGAATTAAGCTGATTTATCAGCATATCTTTAGATACAATAATGATAGTTTATAAGCTACAATAATCAAAATTTATTAGTTGAAATCATCTCAGTTTATAGGCTACAACAATCATACTTGGTTCATCAGTAATAAAAGAACAATGGCTCTTGATCTGCAACAATCACCATTTATCATTCATAGTAATCATAGTTTCTCATCTACAACACGTTTAACATGGCAATTGTATCATTTGTAGTTTTATCAGCTGTATGGATTATAGTTCTGATAACCAATATCACTTAAGCAGCTAAAATGCATTTATGTTACAAAGCTATAAAGTAAGTAGTTTAATACAAATTCAGAGCTGTAAGAATGATCATTTCCCAAGTTCAGCAACACAGTTTAAGTGATGTGTTGGAACAATGAACAACTATATAGCTGGCCACTTTGATTACTTTGTAGACTTCCCCATAATGTTTAAACTGTGAAATACGAAACTTTTAATTTAATTTCAGTACATGCTTTAATAATACTAACAAGATGCCCATGATTAGGTCCCAAATCCTCTGCCCTGATTGTTTAACTATAGAACTAATATGTTTTGACATCACATTTCTGAAAATAAACTTTGAAAACAAATCTCCAAAACTTATCAACACCTTTCAGCAAACCATGTACATTTCTCTATAAATGATTTAAGTACATGTTGAATTTTGCTCTTTATGGTATAAAACAAGTGGAAACCTGACCTTACCTAACATATTCTGCACATTATTTTGATGTATATGTACAGTAGAAAAACATCTATAAGATCTAACAGCATACATATGCCACTCTAGTAACTTTGCAAATCTACTACAGTTACGGTGCACAGCCTCCAGCAGACAGATTACTAACATAAACAACCTTTCATTCTTCCAGGAGAAGATGGTGAATGTAGGCCTCAAGTTAAATTGTCAGACTTTTAATTTGTTGAAAAGACACATTGTTAACTACATACTAGTTTCAATAATTTAGCTGAAAAATGTTTTTCACTAATTCATTCAAATCAGTTTTAACAATCAAATTTTATTACAAATTTAGATTTTGATCAAAGATAAGCTAACTTGGTAATAATCAAAGAAGACAAGTTAGAGAAGAAACAAAAAAACCTTAACACAGCATGTCTAGGAAAGTAGAATTAGTAAACAAAACTGATATGCCATTTTTAATATATTACATAGAATTAAAAACAATAACCTCATTAAAACTTAAATTGCTCAGAGATCATAAATGTGGTATTTTATGTATTATACAGTCTGGTTGGTTTAAACCAACAATGTTATTAATACATATGTATGATACCTAAAATATTAACGACTATTTTACTTTTTTGCTATGAACTTTGTAGTCTAGTGACAAAAAATCAACTCACCCGGAATCAAATAAAATTTAAAGAAAATCTTTATCTTTATAATCTTTTGCTATTTATAATGAGTTACTAAAGACAAAATAACTCAAAAAAATATAATATAATGATGGAATTACACAAATGCAATGATATTTTGCAATTTTATAAATCCAAATCACATACAAAATTAATAAACAAAGTACACCATTTGGCTCATTTAACCTTCCTTGAAGTCTATTGACCGATACTAAATAATGAACAGACACTGAGTTGTGTTTTTAAAAAAAAGTCTACTTGTTCCTTTCAGAAATTTACATAAAATTACATAATGGCTATCTGTACTATCTGTCCCTAATTTTGAACTAACTGACTACAGGGAAGGCAACTAGTTAAAGTACCCACTGCCAACTTTTGGGCTACTCTAATCTAATCTTATTGGGAGATTTAATTGTCATTCTTATAGTACACCAATAGCTCTAAAGTGTGGAATATGATTTTGTGGTAATGGGATATGAACCATGGACCCTTGGATTCAAAGTCTGGTACACTAGCCACTAGGTCACATCCAGCCCAAAATAAAGTGTATTTTGAAAAAAACTAAAAAACTTTAACTGAAGTAAAATAATAATCATATTTGTGAAATTCTCCTGCTATTTATTAGATTCAACAATGTTCTATTAATTATAATAAAATAACATTACAGAAATTCATCAATCTAACAATATAGCAAAAATATGTTGCATGAAAAATATTTTACCATAAGTTATAATATCTTAACAAATAAAAATTCAATAAAACACAATAACTTAATGGGGTTTTTATCTCCACATTCAATATTTATTTTGCAAAATTTTAAACTTCTCTTTTGCAGCCATCTTTAGGCTAACTTACATATACCAAAAAAAATGTAAAAAATTTTGTGGTGAACATAATATAATGTTTACATTTATGAAATCAATAAAAAATTGTGTCTTTATAACAACATAGAGATGCAATATAATTTAAAGTATTACAATGACTGAGAAAAATTAATAATCTCATCTCACAGCATTTTATAGTTCACTGGTAAATCTAAAATAAAAATCATATCGAGTAATTATTTTTACCACTAATTCACCCACTTTGTGAATTTAAAACACGATAAACATAAAAGTGTGGGTTATTCAAAAACACAATACTCTGTAGCATCAACAAATTTTCTGAAATGAACTGAAATGTTACACTACCAACCAATTACCATAGAAGTATTATACATATATAAATTAACCCTTTTGCAACCTTGATTTTTGTATTCTTCCAAACCAGGGAATATCGAGAAATTGATGAAATGTCAAAATATTTATATTTTATTGACTTATTGTCTATTTTATTCAAAAAATGCCATATAAACCATATATCACTGTATTCAATGAGAACAGCCCTTATCAAAACATGGCCATATGGGCCCTCAAAATATAAACAGTGGATGTACCAAATTTACCCCTCTGATGAGCAAATTGTTAAAAAAAAAGATTAGTAATGACTATTAAAATTCTTATCGTAAAATCTGAAAGATTAATAACACTCAATAAATACAAATATTTTAACAACTTTGAGTTCTAAGATCTAAGGTGAAAAAATTGTTCATAGCTTGAGTCAAAATTTCTTACTACATATATGTTACAAAAGTTGTTTTAATATTTTCCATATCTCACATTAAAAACTAGTTTCCTTGCACCAACTCAATAATTTTTTTTAGGAGGTAGAAATTACATTGGACATCTACAAAACCTAAAATGTTAGTAAAAGTATTATCATTTTTCCAGCCAATATGTTCCACTATATGTAGACTATTTCTTAAATACTCAAATTAAAATTAAGACACAATTTGTGCTCATTGTCTTATAGTTGAATGTTTTAATTAATATGTTAATATTTACTGTTTAACTTTGGAAAGATTTAATGCATACTATAATCAAAAACGTTTGGATACCCAAATTTGTTTATAGACTTTTTTATTTAACATTTATTCCCAACCAGAATTTAATAAGAATACCAAAGTATTGCCCTACTAAGATAGGTCACTATATAGCAAAGGTTAACATGTGTGAAACAAGTGTGCACCACATGCTGACAGGCAGAACACAGATTATGTTCGCAGGAAAACAATCATGCAGCTTAATTGAGCATGTGACATGGTTAGTAACCAATTACTTTGTCTGGGTCAGTATTTAAATGTTTTACATATACTGGTCTATATCTTAAGGAAATTAGACAAAGAACAAAAGCCAAAACAGGAAAATGTATTTAATGAAAATGGTTAAGTTCAGGGCTAGAGAAAAAAATTTATAGCAGAACGTAAACATTTTTAAAAAAATCTAAATAGGTCTTGTGTTAATTAGAGCATGACTAGCTCCAACAGTGTAATATCCTGCAGGGAGAGAATCAGCCTGATTCATCATGACTCAGGTGAGGGCAGCAATCACCAAGCATCATCACAACACTCACTGTACAGAACAAGTCAGACCAGTTTCTGAGTAGGCAATAAGCATAATGTAAACCTTAGTCCCAATATATGAATTACTGTATGCAGGGTGGGGTAGATACAAGAGTTATTTAAATGAGGAGAGTAAAATTCTGAGGTTACAAAAATTCAAACAGCCCTAGTTAACAATGGTAATCAAGTACAATATAATGCACTTCAATTTATATAGGCTGCTGTAAGAAGTTAAAAATTCCACATTTCTACCATTCAAAGATTAACTCAACTAACATAAAGTACATAGACATTTCTTTACTGGAAAAATAACTAGAATATGTTTATGGACAGGTAGAAGCCCAGTCTATAATTAATGTACTATACAAGATAACCGTGATCCTACAAGTACTCTTTACTATTTACATACTTTAATACTTTTATACTTAAAATATCACTATAACATTAATATACTTTATGCCTAACATATACAGGAGATTACCCTTATTTTATAATAATATTCTTTACATGCTAATGAAGTAGCATGTTGCAACAGCTATAAGCCATGGTAACATGTTTAGTTTAGCCCTATATTTATTTGCTTCATGACAAATTCACAACCATTTTACGGTGCAATGCTGCTACAGATAACCAATGGCAGGAGGTATATGCCACAGTCCCTTTTGAAGAGAAATATTTATAGAGTAAGAATAATGATGTACAGCCAAAGGAAAAAACAAAAACATTTTGAAAAAAAAAAGGTCTCAATGTTCTTACACTAAGTAGATAACTTTAATAGAAGAAAATCTAAGAGTATAAAAATCTATGATATAACACCCTAAGTCAATTCAATGCAATTTTCTCATCTACATAGTGAAGGCTATGGTTATGAAATAGAACACTTTGGCTCAAAAAGCCAGTGTAATGAAGCTAGACATACTTCCAAGTACTGTCAAAAGATTAAAAACAAGAAGAAGGATTTGAAGCTAATGAAGGCTCACAAGCCAAAAGATCACTTGCTTCCAGCAACACTTCAAAATCAACAGTTTACATGAGATAAGTGGCTGAAGAAACTGGAATCACAGCCATTCCATTCAATCACATACACATACTTTTCAAGCTACCCCAGTGCATCTTCATAGGACTTTTGTACCTTTGATCTTCACACATATGTGATCTTGGAAGTCACTGTCCAAGAAAAGTGGAGAGTCTGTAGAAGGTTTGACAAAATTTGTGGTCATGACATTACTTAGTAAAAACTTATAGCAGAAATTGTGATGGTGGGGAACAGTGCTCAACCATAAAAATCTGACCAAGGAAAGCACAAGGACTGACACATTGTTCTCATACAGTGCAATTAATCCTCAGTATATCTATAAACATCTTCTACCATTACAAGTGGATTATTTACACTTCAAAGCCAAGTCTACTGCTGATGTATTATATGTTCTACAAGTATGCCTGAAAATGTATAAAATGTGCCCACTGTTAATATACCCTCTGCATTACTACTATGTTTATGAATTTATAAATTGTAACTGATCTACTGAAGTCTGTAAATGCTTTCAATTACAAGAAGATATACCTGAGAAACCCTTTTACACTTACCAAGTTACTGTCATCTTGAAAAGCATAATGAAGATTGGTAATCCAGCGTTTATCTCCATGTACCAGTACATCTCTTTCTTCATGGAAACAAGCTGTCTAAAAAGTAATATTATTGAACATATATTCTTAATGTAAACAAATTATCTACACAGCAATATTACTAAACACACAATCCTAGCAACTTCTTTACTATTTTCCAGATCCATAAATATTTTGTTATTTTTATCTAGCATTTTAAGTTACATATGATAAAGATCATCTCAGAGTCTAATACAATGATATCTTAAATAGGATTTCTGGCTTATATGATTATACAGAGGATTGGGAACATTATATTAAAACAATTTTAGAACCTTACTATCTCATCACAGTCCATATCACCACATCCAGTCATGCTCTATTTGACAACTGTGCACCTTGACAATAGTCCTCCAGTATAATTTCCATTACTAAAGGCTTCATGTCCAAAGCACACCACTCCTTCCTGCATGAAATAGCATGAATACCCACTTCATTCTCCAGGTGCTTGAAGTATGCAACAGTTGAATGGAAGATATGACTGGAAGCATTATCTTAGTGAACCTATACCCTGTTGGCTTCATTTCCAAATAGAGATCATTCTTGATTATGTTGTGTGTTTTCACCTGGGGTATATGGGAGGCTTTTGCCACTGACCTTTATGTTTCTGTATTCTTACATTTTACAAGACACTACAATGTACTTACCATGGTTAGGTACAACTTGTTAAAGGCGAGTTCTAGGAGAGCCCCACTTCCCCCAAGTTGATCCATATTTCTTTGTTTTCCAATGAAATTAAGTCCTAGGAATACCCCTGTCTTGTAAATTCTAAATCCCTGATCCAAACAAATCTTCATGATCTGAGTGTATGCGTATTTGGTGTTAGAAATGATTTTTACATACCCATCCCTAAAGTGAGACACTATCTCTTAGAGATAAAGTGATGCCAAAATGTAGTTCTGATACACACAGTCTCACTATGAGTTCATAATGGCTGAGGGTGTCATGTGACTTGCATATTGAAAATCATATATTAATATAGCATCCTTAACCCTCCGTACATTTGCTCTTTTTGGTTATATCAACTTCTGGTTATAATTGTGTAATACACTTAAAAAGCTCTCTTTTTAATTTAAAACACATCAGTAATGGAGACAAAAAAAACAAAAAGTGAACTAATAAATGAAGTTCTTTTAATTGTTCATGTATAAAAAAACCAAAATACCTTTAATTATTTATTTACACATTTATTAAATGTCTTAACTTACTTCTGCTCGTTTCAACATTTCCCACTTGTTGAGAATCTTCATAGCATAAACTTTATCTGAATCTCTCAACTGTCTGACCACAGCAACCTGAATACAAAGTAGACTTGTTAGATTAGTTAAATATACTTCATTCGATCACCTTAACCATTTGTAAAAACTTAAAATCCTTTATCTTCAAAACCATCATCATCATTACCACTATCATAAATAGTTTTTGTGTAATATTCTGTACAAGAGAGTAAAGAAAATAAATAATTAAACATTTTTTACAGTAGTTTTAGAGCTTCGGAACTCTATTTTTGTTTAAATATTTTATATTATAAATGTTAATATTGGATGCCCTTTTCTTTTAGTACTGATATTGCATTAACATGTTTATCATTTTTTTGTATTGTAAATGTAATTATTGTGTGCCTTTGTCTCTTATTACTAACATTGCAACAACATGCACTTTTTCATATATTGATATTGCAGTAGCATGTTCATTAGCATTTGTATTATAGATATAGATAACATGTGCTTTTTTCTCTTGATACTGATATTATGGTAACATTTTTGTGTTATAAATGTTGTTATTGTGTCCCTTTGTCTCTCAACACTGATATTACAGTACCAAGACTGTTAAAGATGTTAATATTGTGTCCTTTCCTCTTAGTACTGATATTGCAGTAATATGTTTATCACTGTTTATATTAAAGATGTTGATATTATGTGCTTTTTACACTTAATCATGGTGTTAACATTTTACTAAACTGAAAATGTATTTCCAAAGTCTTACCTCCCCTCACAAACTAGCTTTTCTTGATTAGTACTGCCCTCTATAAGTGCAAATTTTCAATGCTCATCACTAGCCTTCCACCTCCCACTTCTACATATTCACATGTAAATGATTATGCAGCAGCTTTCCACCAATAAGAGCACAACACAACCCCTATCGTAGCCAGTGCCCTCACCACATTTGCACTCATTAATCACTTCAAGATTGGTCAAAAGACCCACACCACATATGACCGGAAACTGGGGAGGCTGGGTGGGAAATGTGACAGGAGGTAAGTATCTGTCAGAAATACATTTTCAGTTTAGAAAGGTGTTAACTTCTTATATGATATCTTACCTCTTCTCACAAAATAGCTAAAATCCCACATTAAACTGGTTGAATGATGTTAAAAAAATGATCCCCTTTATGAAGCACCCAAAGAGAGACCATGAGGTGTGGAACCAAAAAAGAAAATATCACACTTTAGCACAAGACTGCACTACATCTGATCCAGGTATAATACTTTATGACTGTTTTGCGAACATAAAAGGCTGAAAAACATAAATTAATCTCATAATATGTATTACCAATTAATGGGACCCCTGAGTATTGAGTGACTAGGACACAACAGACCATAGTGATAGTTCATTCACATCCAACACTTGGCAGCATCTGGAATTGTACAACAGTTCCAAGGTAGGCAGAGGATCACCTACCTCTTCACTTCAAAATTGGTAGGGAAAATTGGTAGGGAAGGCGAGCTGCACTAACAAAATCCGTTACCACTTGTGCACATTTCCAACCCAACCAATACCTGATCCACCACAAACCAACATCCAGTGGACAGTAGGAAGGAGGAAAGCCCCAGTGAGATGACATCTCCTGTCCAAAACCTGGCAGCACTGGGTATGGTTTTTCCAGTACATGGTAGGAGGATGATATCTGACTGCACACAAGTGGGAATACACGTGCTGCGTCCAGCTACAACCAACACCAATCTGCCAAGAACCAACATCCAACAGACGATAGAAAGGGGACACTAAACCTGGGGTGCTTCTCCAGTTCAAAACCTAATGGCATTGAGCATTTTTCATCTAGTCTACAGTAAGATGAGGGATACAAGCTAGAACACATGTGAGGACTTATTTAGCTGGACCATCTGTAACCAACACCTAACCCTCCATAGAACCACATTCAGAGGATGGTAGGTAGGAGGAATGTCTCAGCCTTAGGGGCAAACTGCTATATATATATATATATATATATATATATATACACACACACACACACACACATATATAC